ACAGTATCAAAAGCAGCAGTAAGGTCCAGGAGCACAAGTACCACAAATTGACCAGAATCGTTTGAGATCATAATGTCGTTACAAACCCTTACTAATGCTGTTTCAGTGCTGTGGAGTTGCTTAAAACCAGATTGAAAAATCTCGAAGATTCTGTTCTCATTCAAAAACTTATTTAATTGAATGAAAACTATTTTCTCCAGGATTTTGGACAGGAAGGGAAGTTTTGAGATTGGTCTGAAATTTTGAGCAAATCGAAGGGTCAAGTCCAGATTTCTTAATTAACAGATGAACTACTGCATGTTTGAAAACATCGGGAACCACACTTGTCACAATACTACTATTTATAATAGTAAGAACAGAGGGTCCAGTCGTGGGTAGTTGAAAAACGACGCAGGAATGGGGTCAGCGGGGGAACCCGAGAGTTTCATCTGACCAACGACTTTGTTTAGAAATGGAAGTGAAATGGGTTCAAACTGTTTGAAGACAGCTGAGCAAGGGACAAAGACAGAGGGGTCAGTTGTGGACTGGGGGATGGATGACTTAGTCAACTCTACCTTATCAGCAAAGTGTCTGGTAAGTTTAACATAATAAAAGAAACCTGTAATTTGTCCTTTTTCCACTTACACTCATCTCTCCTACATAGATGTTTGGCTGCACGAGTGGTCACGTTCAACCAGGGGTGTGGTGCCCGCTTTGGTTGCCTGATTTTTAGCGGGGCCACGAGGTCTAAGATCTTAGAACAGGTCGCATCATGCCTACTGAGAAGCTCCTGCGTACTAATACAGGCAGAGGTTTCAGGGACTGAAGCAGCATCAGTAAGGAATGCAGAGGAAAAAAGAGCAGCGGTTGAAGAGTTAAATATCCGACAACTCTTGGCTGGAGCGGGGGATTTAGACTCATGAATAACAGAGGTTTCGAATGAAATGGGTTTGTGATCTGAAACAATAGCATCCCCAATTTCCAGATTAACCACAGATAAATCGTGAGACAGAACTAAATCAAGTGTATGGCCCTGTTGATGAGTTGGACCAACAACATTTTGCACAAGGTTGAAAGATTGAATCAGATTTTGAAACTCCTGCACCAAAGGCTTGTCAGCACAGCAAACATGTACATTAAAGTCTCCCAGAATCAAGACCCAGTTGTAATAGAGCACTATTCCAGACAGAAAGTCCTTGGAGCATTAAAAAAGGCACAATCCACTGGCAACAGTTCAGAAAAAACACTTAACTCACCAGGGACGAGCCAGTTTTCTGTAACAAACGTGAAGTCTAGTCCATTGGAGCAGAAAAAGTTGTTTCAGATAAAAGTTTTATTTGCCAGCGACCTCACATTCAGCAGAGCAATCTTAGTAGGACCAGTAGCTGAAGGAAAAACTGAGCACGGAGCGCAAATCAGCTGTTTCAGATTTTTGGAGTTTGAACCGCGCCTCCAAGGACCAGAGACGCCGCAGCTGTGCGCGCGCCTACGGCGTGGGCCAGGCTCGACTACGGGGACACAGCAGGATCAGCGAATCACCCAGACAGGCGAATATCCAGCAGATGGTCGGCAAGAGATGATGCAACAGACAGTCCGAAGTTGGTTAAGTTCCACTGAAGACGACCGAAACCGCCACGGCTACGCGTGCGCCCGCTGCGTGTACCAGGCCCGGCCACCTGTAGCAGGCTGGAGTTGAGTGGGTCAGCGAAGCATCCGGATGGACAGTTTAACGTCTGATTGTCAGCAGCAGATGACGAAGCAGCAGAGAGCTTGATGCTGGCTTTAATCCTCACGAGATGGCCGGCACGTCTTCCACGGTGCCTGGAGCGATGTTTTCGGGCGGGCAGAAACGCTGCACGCTGCAGTTAAACAGGGACATCAACAAGCAGAGGGGGTGGGGGTCCAGAGCCTTGATCAAAGTGGTCGAACAAGGGTCAGGGTCAGAACCTCCTGTGAGGAGAACATGAACTTAAACAGTGAGCATTAGCTGAACTGTTTAAGCAGCTGATCCGATGGATGAGCACATTTTTACAATCTTCATTTGTTACTGTCAATCTTTAGTTAGCTTCTGAGTTTAGCTAGCTACATAACCATAAAATAAAACCACACACTAATATCTTAAAGTTAGTGTTACATGGATCCTAGTTTAACTCTCAGCGATGCACGTATTAAGCTGCAGTAACATTAACAAACGTAAACTTAACAGCTAAAATCCCAGACACAGCTCCGTCCTTGGGAGTTCTTTGATGAAGAGGAGTCTGGTCGTGGAGATAATGAACCAGGCCGTTCATGCTCTCTTAACACTCACAGGCTGACTTTAATGATGAAAGGAGGGGGGAGACTGCGGTTGCCCTTGAAAACAAACACGGAGCAACTTTCCGCTCATAAATTGAAGCTGTTCGACAACACACACGCTGCACATGTGAACCCCATCTGTGGGCGTCATATGTTTTACCTGCCTGCGTGCTGAAACCACGTGACACGTTACAGCCAATACCTAAACTTGACACCGAAAGAAGAGTAACGTTTCAGTCCATACACCGACCGATGCAGTTTGGTTGGTGCCATAAAAGAACCTCAGTCACCATGACAGCCCTAGACAGGAGGGCTGTCATGGTGAGTTAAGTCCACCCCCAGAAAATTGATGAGCTGAGAGGGAGCCGTTGAGCTTTTCTCCCAGTTTATCGTGAAATCCAGATGAGATAAATGCAACACCAGAGACTTTGTCTGGATTTCCGCTTCTTTCCAGGACTGGGTCAGGAGGAGAAGGTCGTCCAGATAAAAGAAGTCTCTCATGCCCACCATGCGCAGCAGCTGTAATGCCATTTCCACACATTTCAAGAATGTGTGTGGGGCGAACGAGTAACCAAAAGGGAGGCGGCTGTATTGGTACTGAACTCCGTGGAAGGAAAAATGCAGGAACCTCCTGTGTTTCTCTATTATTGGGATATGAAAGTAGGCATCTTTCAAATCCACTGAGACAAACCAGATAACCATGCAGGGGTTATCCATCTTTATCATTATCTTTGTAACATAAATGTATAAATAACTGATGAAGGCAACTTTTAGACAACCACTGTGTGGGATTCTCAGTTTCCACTCAGTTTCTCTCTGCTCATCGACTCTGCAACTATCTGCTGACCTGCACCTCGCCTGCCAGACCTGTCTTACCCTGCACTACTTAAACCCAGGCCAGACACTCGTCCTACGCTGGAGCATTGATTACCTTGGGTAATTCTGTGACAGCCAGTCAGCCTTAGAAACGTTCTCGAGTTTTTCTAACCTGTAGTTGTTCTGCCTGCCAGTTCTGTTTCCTGTTACCGTGGACCTGCCCATCTTCTCATTGGACCTCTGGCTGGATCTGGTCATCAAAACCTGCACACCCAACTCTGCTCAGCAAACTACACTCTGGACACCTGGACACAACATTCCTGCAAATACCTTCTTACCTCTCTGGATTCCCTCTCGTCACCGAATGCTGTCTCCTATCCACCTCGGCGCCACCTGCAACAAACAAACACAGTAAGAAAGACTTCCACCTATAAAGAACATCAAATCAACTATTATTGTCAAGAGACTCATCTTGTCCTCTGCCTCTCCCCACAGCAAACCAACATGTTTTCCTTCACTGTAAATAAACATTCACCTTTTTGTATCCTGTTGTCCTGGTCTCTTTTTGGTCTGCCAACTGGGATCTAAATACTATCATCATGTTACACTGACAGTCTGCTGAGGAAGCTTTAGTTAAAATTGTGATTCTTCTTTCAATAACTCGTTTCTCATTTTCTGTCCAGAAACGGCTGGTTTCTGCCTTCTTGGCTCTCACAGACTATGGTGATATAGTTTATGTGAATGCCTCTGCTGCTCTTTATGCCTGCTGGATGCTATTTATCACAGAGCTTTGACATTCATCACAGGCAGTAAACTCCCCACTCATCATCATTACACATCCATACACTTACATTGGTGCACATTTATAAATCTATTCTCTGTTCAATCATACAGGTGCATCTAAAAACAGTGTTTCCCATTATACAAGCGGGGCGCACCGCCCCGTCTACTGAACCCCCTCCCACCGCCCCCCAACCACCTGTTGGCAGTGACGTAACGCTAAAGTAGCAGCACGCAATGCAGATGCACTAGCTAAAAAGCTAAAGACAGCCTCTTCCCTCATGCTGAACCCTCACTCTAAAACTGTCAGTACAAACAGAACACAGGTCGTGTGTGTCGAGGTAGTTTCAATGAGCCATGAGAACTCATTTTCAAGAGAGACCTGTTTAGGGAGCAGATGGTGGGGGTTGGGGGCCTTGCTCAGGGCCCCAGAGTGGGGCCAGTGAGGAACATGACTAACCTGTATAAATAAAAGAAATGAAATGGATAAATAGACTTTCACTTAGATTGTTTTCTGCAATGGTAAAATCAGTTTCCCTAAACTCGGTGTTTGATTTTTTTACTAAACCTGCTTCCTGGATTACCCATGAAACATTTTGTCTGGCATGTCCTATAGAACTGAATGACCAATACTTGAGTTAAATGTTGCTATACACATGGCTTGTGTCTTTCTGTCTACAGGTGGCCAGATGTGTACCTGGGCCTGACCACAATGGGTCAGAACATGTCCTCCTCTAGCCTGCAGAGGGCCATCAAACAGGCCTTGGCAGCGGGACTTTCTGACCATAGGTCCAGGAGTGGATCAGGGTTTCAACAGTCAGTGGTCACAGCAGAACTCATGGTTCATCCAGGATACCCCAGTTATCCCCAGGAAGGAGGCTGTGGAGAGGGTCCAGATGGTTTCTCTCAGTCTGCTGAGCGACACCATGAGCTGAGTGTGCTCACGGACCCATCTGTTCTGGATCTGTACCACCAGGAGAGAGTGCAGCTCTGTAGCTTTAAAGACCTTTGACGTCTGCTATCCAAACTGACATCAGTGACACTAACACAAAGTTCTACAGTAGTCCCTCGTTATGCAGTTTTACAAATCGTAGCACAACTAAATAAGTATGCAAGATATAAAATTGTGTTAATCTAGTTGTTGAGGAGGAGGCAGGTCGGTCCGGCCGGTTTAAAGAGGTTAAAAAAAAAGCCACGTTAAGCTCAGATGGACAACCTGTCACTGACTGCGCACGTCCGCTGACCTGCCGGTTGAAATGGACTTGCAATCATCTGTCCAGGTTGTACCCCGTCTCTGTGATGGCTGGACATGAGCACCAGCAACCTGAAAAGGAAGAAGCGGGTAAAGATGATGGATGGATGGATGGATGGATGGAATTGCTGATCACCGGCTGCGCACGTCTCCACACCTGCTCTCATCTGTGGTAATGAAGTAGCAGCAGCTACCAAAGCTGCAGCGAGCAGCACGTTCAATTAAAATGGCCTTGTTCTGTATTTTTCCAAGTAATTTAGCTCTAAAATATTTTTGTTCATCTGTATAACAGCCGGTCTCTAGAGTTGATTTTTTAAGACTTTTTGTTTTGTATGTTTATATCCATTTGGTGAAACAATAAATCTTTATCTTATCAAAAGAAGAAGAAGAAGAAGGGTTACATGTTTTGATCACATCAGTGACACTTAATGACACATTTGAGTTAACGTATAAATTAATGTTTGAAACAAAATAACTTCTCTAAACCTTGCTGGGTCTGAAAACCTGGAAAACAGTTTGGTTTGACACAATAAAACATTTTCTTCAGCATTTTATGAAAACCTGTCAGGAGCAGGTTTTGGATTCAGTATAGGCCAGAAACAGGAGTTCAAAAACAAGAACAGCTTTTATTATTAGCTGCTGGATGGAGTAGTCAGGAGGTGGCATGAACGCTGACTGCAGAGGGGGCGTGGTGCTGAATGAATGCTGACTGCTGTGGAAGAGCCATGGGGGGCGTGGCATGGAGGGAGCAGGTTTGAGCTGAAGATGGGTGACAGGCAAAACAAAGC